TTAACACTTGCTGTAAAATTATTAGTTTTTGCATTTTAACAAAGTGAATTAATATTCCTAATTCTTATAAAATTATTAATAAACGTGAAATATTCTTGTAACGGTAATCTTATGAGAAATACTCGTATAATTAATTCTGAAATTTTTGCTTACATGTTATAACAATTGTAACGTTTACGTTTTGCTGTTTCGCAGTGTTTTCTCTGTGAATTCTATGTTTCGAATTTATTTCAAGCTAAAGTAACGTCTGTGTACTGCAGTTCAACCTAATTTACTTAAATTCGAATTACGATACAGTATATTTACAATTCTACCTGAATTTTCGAAATTATAAACATCACCAGTAAACTTCCATTGCATGTAAACAATATTCTCCACTAATCGGTAATTATAAAGTAATTATAAAGCAATTATAAAGTAATTACCGAAAAATATACACTTACATTCTCATGTTGGATCATTTACCTCTCTTCTTCTCGTCTGTTCACACATTCTCTCTAACTCTCCCAATTTCGTTATCCAATCGTTCCTATTTACTCTCATTTTCAAATTTCACACGTTATTCGCTATTATCCTCCCTTAACAAACCAACAAATCCCAGCACAATTAAAACAAAAATAATACACTACCAGCTTTTAAAACAAATATAAATCATTTTACCAATTACTGGTACTTGCTAGACATTTAATATCAGACTTTAAATATTCTCCTTTCGGTTCTTTTAAATACAATCAAATAATTTCTTCAATTATCGATACTGACTTGGAATACTCCGCTTCGAATAAAATATTTCGAAATTATTTTGAAGGTTTAGGGAAATAAACATTTGAATTTTAGTCATCGTTGTTCTTCAGACTTGTCGAATAGGATATTGAAATGACTTTGAGTGGTTGCTTTTTCGTTAGGGCATAACAATCAATATGTACTTTTCTTCCAGCAATTGAAATTAATTTGAAATTTTTCATATATTTTCTCTGATATTGAATTTTGTTTACTAATAATTTACCATCCAAGGAATTTGCATGTTAAGTGGTTAGTTGATTTATTATTGTATATTGTGAGCTGATTTGAAACGAGTGCACTACACTCGTTGCACTTTACTCACCCTAAATTAAACCGTCTCAGTAGTTTACCGTAATTAATAATCTTTTTTTGGAATTTATACGAGAATTTTTTAATTTTAGTAAATACTAGAGTCAGTGCATCGCGGATTGAAATAATAGCTTCATCCCTAGTTCCTTTATTATTGAATATTTAACGCGTTTAACTTATGCTTTTCCCCAATTCTCGTCGCGTATTTTATTCAAATTTTCTTATATTCTAGAATCGAAAAAGATACGAATTCGCGTTTTTTCTTTTGATTCTTTCAATTTTTCACTCTCGTTCTACGAAAGTTTACTTCAATAATAATATTAAAAATTTTTCTGGTGATTTGGTTTAGTAATTAGTTGTGTTGTGTATTGCCAGCTCAAATATGAGCTGCTTAATGTATATGTTTAAAATGTATTTTCTTGTGGCCGCCTAACAGCAACCTGTAAATCTGGCGTGACAGTGAACGTGTTAACAAGTAAATGTTTTTCATTTTCATCAGAAAAATCTCATCAATGTTAGGAAAAATTTCGGGATAAAAAAACGTAAAATTAAAAAAGTTGATATTTAAATCGCTTGGTTGCCTCGACATACGTTTCATGCTTATCTTTTATTCGCTGTCCTTGTCTACGTTCGGCAAACTACAAAGGCGGGTGCGAGGCTCGAAAACGTAGTCCCTGACTCTACGAGTGTCAGGTTTAGCTTCCTTGCGGTCTGACACTTGTGGAGAATATACTGTATTACCGGATTGTCACCGGCCGCGCTTCTTCTTCCTCGACCCGCATTACATTTACACCGCGATTTCTCGATTAACACTTGGAACAACCGAACTTGACGAAAAATGAGGGATTTCTGATTTCTTGCTTCAACCTCTTTTCACGGTATGTCTCGTTTGAGTGGGACAAAAATTGACGGAGTGAATTTTGCCGTGATTGAGATAAATAGCAAATTTTTTAACCTCTTCAGAGACACTAGTTTTTCCGAAAATTCCAGTATTTGCGACAGAGAAAATGTGGGAAACATAATCTCCCAACAAGGAAAGCGTCAAATTGACGCGTGAACGAATAGAAGGATTAGTATACTGGATGACGTGTAGAAAAAATTTTGAAAAAATTGCAATATGTGGAGATCGCGAAGAGGAGATAAATAGGAAATTTTTGAACCTCTTCAGGGACACTAGTTTTTCCGAAAATTCCAGTATTTGCGACAGAGAAAATGTGGGAAACATAATCTCCCAACAAGGAAAGCGTCAAATTGACGCGTGAACGAAACCGCAGATTTTCTTTAGAAAACGACTTATTTTATACACTATTAACTTGTAAATGAAACTGTGCGATATATTTATATAAAATAAGCATAAGTGGTAGGGACTTCCTTGTGAAATTCGAAATGAGTAAAAATGGTGCGTCCGGTAAACCCAATGTCAACATGAATATAAATGTAACCACATAAGAAATTAGATCGTTTTGTAACTTTAAAAAAATCGTCCCTGAAGAGGTTCATCAGAAAATTGATCTCAATCCATTGCAAACGCGACATTTTCTTTAAAAAAAGTAATTTAGTATTTTTTATATAGAATACCTAAATATACCAGAAGGAAGAAAAATATAAAATATTCTACCTCGGTTATTCCAGTGTTAAATTGAAAAATATTTCAAATTTTCAGGTGTATCTTAGATTTCTTATTTTCCTTTCTTCCTTCTGTCTTTTTGGATATGCTTTTGAAGAAAATTGCTTTTGGTTTAACCACTTACTCTCTTTTACGGTGAACGTAGAAGTAATCTTGTTCGCCCAAAGTGCTTTTTGCCATTTTTTTTTATATGCCTTCAAAAAGAAAGATAGACACGAGAGTAACGGTTCCTCCCCTTTTTTCACGAAATATTACAATCTTTTTCTCGCATTCGACAAATACATTTAACAGCTATAAACGTAATTTCCAATAAAATAATTCGCAATCTGTAACACATCGAACCTTGAACTCTATTCCCGGTATTCTTCGACGACTCGAAAAGTGAACAATCAGTCTTCGGTTAATTATCATTCCGGTGCGTGCGGGAGATCAAAAGAAAGTTCGGCTCGAGAAAGTAAAAATATCAGAAGCCGTTTCAGACCTGTTTTAATTTACGGCAGTAACAGGACCGCGAACACAAAGCGCGCGGTAATTGGAAATGTAAATTTACCATCGTACGAGTCACAATATTTTTCGAATAATCGAGCGTTAATTAGATTTGTAAAAATTAAATTTTCACCCAATCGACGTACTCCCTTTTTCCTTCCAACTTATCAAATTTCGTAATTATCTTTAACGAGAGATTTATAAGCTAGAAATTAAAACAGGTTACCGAGAGTCGCGCGAATATATAAATATTTATAGAATACGAATTTTTTCACGGTGAACACAGACTGTATCCTGGCATTCCTCGCAACGCGAATAATAGAAGTGATCTAACAGAGGAAAAATCTGGTTTACACCGTAGTATATCATCTTCGAGTGCATTAAAAAAGGAAACGAGCTCGGAGGCGTTAAAAACGCAAACGAACGGCTTTTATATCGTTTGGATACGAGAAGAAATACTAAACAAAAGCTGGAAATAGTACATATTTCGTCTCGGTGAAAAAAAGAAAATTATTGCGAATAACCGATAAAAATGTTTCCATTAATATTCGAGAAATATGTGTACCTATATAGAAAAATGAACGAAATTTCACTTTACTCGGTGAAAACTATACGCAAAAAGAAGATACTAAGAAAAAGTCGCATAAAAATAAAAACCAAAGCTATCTTTTAGAAATTATTTTCGTTACGCTATAAGAAAAATTTCTATTCAATTTCTCTTTTCCGGTTTGCCGACGCTCGCAATATTGTCCTTCGATTATTTCTAAACTATCATTCTCAGTGTCTGCAATTCAATATACCTATGGTACAAGTATTTTTTTACCTCTCTTCTGGTTACCAAATTTCTGTTCGCCGACACTTGCAATATTTTCCTTCGGTTATTTCTAAACTATCATTACACTATCACTGCCAAAAACTTCATACTGAGAGCATTCGGTTATTCCCGGAAGAAAACTCGAAGCGTGATTTTCTAGAAACTCATACAAGACGAAAATGAAAAATACGAAGTTCCCGTTTCAAGCTTCCGCTTTCAACGATTAAAGTTTCAAAGTATCACTGTAGTCGCCCTTCGAAAAGGAAAAATATATCACCCTCTAAATTTTCACCTAAAAGCAGCTGATCGTCCTGTGTCAGACGAAAAAATGTCGAATAATCGACCTATGCTGCAACGTATCAAGAGAAAGGTGGTCTCTATTTTACATGGGCCATTAGGGAGATCCGTGATAAGACGATTCGATTGTACTGTACATATACTTACACTATAATACTTGACGACGTTATGAAATATTACGTGATAGCATTACTGTTAATAGCCGCGGCGTCAAAGGGCCAGAATGGAGAGATCAATGATAGGTCAATAATGACCTGTGTTAATAATCGACCTAGATTGCTACTTCGCCGGGTGGCATATTTGCAATTTACGATATCGTAAAGGAAGTCGATTGAAAAATTTCGTAAAGGAACGATCGAATTGTAAATGGAAATTTTCGTGAAATTTCAACGAGAGAACAGTTGCGAACGATTATTCTGTTACAATGGAAACGATCCTGCTTGATCTAACTGCTTCATTATGCATACTTTAATTTCAAAAAGCAAAGGAAATAATGTAGGTATTTTTTCATAATAGCACGAAATTAATAAGGACATTGTTAAAGGTGATTATTTTAAAAATATTTGAAGAGTCACTTGTAGACCAGAAAGTTTTCGTCCAATCTAAGGTGCAATATTTAATTTATCGTTTTCAAAATTTTTTTAATTGTTAACTGTAATGTTATGTAAATGTAGAGTTACTTACGTCGTAAATGATAACTTTTCGAACATCTCCGCATTTTAGGCACTCCGATCTGATGTCCTGCTGATACTCCAGCAGCAGCGAGACTTCTTTATCGAAGTCCTCCGGGGAGAACAGATTTTTTATAATTACAACCCTTTCGTGTTTCTGTGGCTCACCTAGAACACGCTCTGGCCTCCAGTCGAACAACCTGTAACAAAGAGTTTTTATCGTAAGTAATGGATTTTCTACTGACTATTTACGTTTGCAGAAAAATGGAAAATTATCATACATTCTTCCAAACCCAAAAGACCATTAATTTCCTTCATTTCTGAATTGCAATTTGGATAACGATCTTTAAACATTTTTAAGTCAGCAAGTAATCTCTATTTTTTCTTCAAAACATTTTTCTCGGTTAATTACATTCACAGATTATTGCAATCAATAATACTGATTTCCAAACACAGCAATTTTCAGAATTATACAGTTTCACATTTTATAAACTAACAGAGGAGAATGTGATAAATTCTAAAATTAGTCGAAAGATACTTCGTTAAAAAGAAAATAATAATATTGTTGAAGATTTTTATTGGATCGATAGATCAAATCTTCAACGTTTGCTCGATGTTTGTTCCAAGCACAGGATCGGTGGAAAACAAGTAGGGAAATCTAGGAATTCGCATCTAAAATAAAAGAATGAAATTTCAAGCGCAAAATAGAATTTGCAGGAACGTAACGAGATTCATACATGTACGGAGAACATTACACAGCGTGATGTAAGAGTGGGTGGTACATGGTGGCCTTTTATAATTCGCAAGGTGTGAATTAGACACAGTACCTGACAGCATGATGATTTTACACTACAAATAGACATCGGCGTCGTTCTGTTTTATGCATTCTGCATAAAGATCATGAATGCAAAGTTTCACTTAAATCACGCACAGGTACTACGTATCCACGATACGTAATTCTTATTACATATTTGCATTTAAGGATAGATCGCGTAGAATAATTCCATAAAACGATGATAAATATTTAATCCTTCGTAGGCAATCTACATCGATGACGACCCGAGATAAATCTTGAAACTGAGATCTGAAATCTGGACGACTCGAGAAACGAATGTTTATTTTTATTCGAAATAAAAATATGTAACTTAACAGGTGTCCCAGAATTTTCTCAGATTTTTTGGAAGCCGAGAACAGGTAAAAAAATTGGAACAAAGAGTGCGACCCACGAAGTGCGAAGAAATAGATTTATCCACGGAGGGTTAACCCTTTCGCGACGCTATCGATCTGCGCCGCTAAAAATTCTACAAATGAGTTGACCGGATTTGCGACCTTTATGACTGAAAAGTGCACCGAGAATCTCTTGGACGTTGTAGAACACTTGGAGAGGAACATTGTTGATGAAATTGTAAAAGTGTGTTAAGAGGGTGGAGCTATACCGTTGCAACATTGTCGCAAAGCGGTAAGAAATGCTCCCGGGAGCTGAAGTTTCCAAGCACGGAGGGTCGGATGTTTCAAAGTTGGATATAGATAATTACGTACGTTTCAATTACAACTTGAGCCAAATGTTAGTCCTACGCTTTACAATATCCACGTTTAATATATCACAGAGATGTGACGTAAATCATCTTGCTCCTTGATTACTACACTGTGCTAACTAATCAAGGATTACACATAATTCCAAATTACCACACGCGTATATTATCCATACACAAAGTTACGACACCACCATAGGCAATTAGTTATGGACTTAACCCACAACCTCGGGGTCAATTAAGCTAATCTTCGATTAGATTACATCGGATAATATTAACTAAGACAGCTCACTATCACTGTATAGGAGATTTCTTGTCTTATTGAGGCGTTATTAAGGAGGTACACGTGAAAAGGAGGTAAAGTTTGGGAATAGTTTTCACAGGTAAATACTAAGAGTAAGTACGATTTCTTACTTTTTAAAAATTAGAGATAGTAGCTGGAAGTTACGTTTATACCCTCTGAAAAAATTGAAAATTTTCATTTAGTGGTTACTGGTTTAAAAAATTCCCAAACTTGACCTATTTTTAAACGCCTCAAGGTGGTTTACCCCTTTAAACAGGTATTCCAGATGAATTTATGTAAATTAGGCTGAACTGTAGCATATAAACCTTGTTTCAGTTCGAAATAATTTCTAAACACAGAATTCACAGAGAAAATAACGTTGGACGTGGGCAGTTATAACTCTGATAACATATAAACAAAACGTTAAACTTCGTATAACGTAAAGACAATATACGATACAATCTAGTTCCACGGTATTATAACAAAGAAACTTCGAATAAATTTTTAACTCGTATAAATAATTATTTAACGTAATAATTTTAACTTTACTAGGGTTATTATTAATATGTGACCACAGGTCAGCCTTATTTTTAATTCTTACGAAATTAATTTAACCATCGGCAGATAATGAGAACACTAGAACGTATTTTGCTATTGAAGAAAGTTGCAAAAACGTATAAATTGTTATATGCAATGTTGTAACAAATTGTTAGAAGTATTAATTTATGATAAAATTGTGAAAATTAATAAATTATAGGCTGTTATAAAGTTAGAATAGAATAATGGAAATCTCCCGCGAAAAGTGATCGCTATATACGGTATTATAATGTTATAATAGAATTATGGTAGTTTCCCGCGAAAAATGGTCGATCTCCCGCGAAATATGGTCGATCTCCCGCGAAAAGTAGTCGATTTCCCGCGTAAAGGAGGTTTCGCGCCCAATTTTGCTAATGATTTTGGGGAGAGGGTACCGCAGGTATATAAGGACCCTCCGATGTCCCGCGAACTTAGTCACCCTTTATACTGGGCCCTAGACACTTCGCGGTAAATTAGTCTTAAAGGTTCTGAGATGTGAATAGAGTGGTCGGGGGCTACTAGCTAGTCTATGTCCACCCTGTACACACTCAGCCTTCTTGTAACACTTGTATACATTAGAATCAATTAGAATTTCTATTACTAATTATTAAACAAATTTTAACAATAAACCGGCACTCGCTAGGCACGTAATATCAGACTTTAAATACTCGACTTCGAACTTCGGTTTAGTCATAATTCTATTAATGTTATAACAACGTATAATTTATTAATTTTCACAATTTTATTATTAATTTATACTTCCAAAAATTTGTTAAAACATTACATATTATTATTTATACATTTTTGCAAGTTTCTTTGACAAATAAGTACGTTTCAACGATCTTATTACTTTCTCGTTGTGAAATCAAGTTCGGAGGATTAAAAATCAGGTTGACCCTTGGTCGTAAATTTAAAATAGCCATAGTGAAGGTGAAATTATTATTTTAAATAAATGTTTCTATACGAATTAAGAATCTATTCAACGTTTGTTTGTTGCAATACCATGAAATAAATTGTATTATATATTTTCTCAGTTTAGACTGAATTTAAAGTTCGTAAGGATTAGAAATCAGGTTGACCTGTGGTCGTAGATTAAAAATAGCCATAGTGAAGGTAAAATTATTACGTTAAATAATTGTTTTTATACGAATTAAATATTGATTCAACGTTTATTTGTTGCAATACCGTGAAATAAATAAATATTAGAGTCAGTGCAACGCGTATTGAAATAATAGCTTCATCCTTAGTTCGCTTATTATTGAATATTTTTCCGCGTTTAACTATTTCCTCCCAATTCGCGTTTCGCTTTTCTTTCAATTTACTCGCGTTTATTTCATACTTTCTTTCAATTTTTTTCTCGCGTTCTACGAAAGTTTAGTTCAATAATAGTATTGAAAGTAATATAAATTCGCGGTTTCCCCCTCACTAAATAAAACTGAAATAAATCGCGTTTCGAAGTACTTTTCGCGTCGTCCATTCCACAGTGACTCGCAATTTGTGAGTCTGCGAGTCTTGTAAAATGAACTGGAACTGGAAGGATGACGATCTGAGAGGAAGGAAGGAAGCAATGCAGCCAAAATCCACGTTGCACAGCCCAGCTGTCTAATCTGCGAATTGTGAGTGACAAAAATGGGTTTTTTTCTGGGAATATGGTTAAGTAGTTAGTTGTATCGTCTATTGCCCCTAATTCAACCGTCTCACTAGTGTTTCGCAATTAACAATCAATTTTTCAAAATATTAGAGTCAGTGAATCGCGTATTGAAACAATAGCTTCATCCCTAGTTCGCTAATTATTGAACATTTTTCCGCGGTCAACTGATACTTCCTCCCAGTGTAGTCGAGAAAGATTCGCGTTTGTTCTTTTGCCGCGTTTATTTCACACTTTCAATTTTTCACTCGCGTTCTACGAGAAAGTTTCGTTCGATAGTAAAATTTAAAGTAATGTAAATTCACGGTTTCTCCCTCTCTAAATAAATCGCGTTTCGAAATACTTTTCGCGTCGTCCATTCCACAGTGACTCGCAAATTGTGAGTCTGTGAGTCTTGGGAAATCAACGCCGAGGAATTCGAACGATCTGAGTGGAAGGGTGACGATCTGAGAGGAAGGAAGGAAGGAAGGAGGCAATGCAGCCAAAATCTACGTTGCAGAGCCCAGCTGCCTAATCTGCGAATTGTGAGTGAATTTTATTGGGTTAGGTGATTGGTTATATATGTGCATGCATGCATGTTTGTAGCTTGAACCATCAAGAATTCAAAGAAGAACTGGATGGATGTCTATTGCACTACTCGGTGCAAACGCCCACCCTTTATTAGAGTTTCCCAATTAGTATACCGCGTTAATTCAATTTAGAGCCAATTTTCGTAATGAATTTTTACTTCCGCCCATTATTTCCGATCGATACGAGAATTTATCACGTCGCGTCGCGTTTCATATAATAGCTTCATCCCTTTTCCGGTTTTTGCTTTTCTTTTTCTCCGCGCGTTTATTTCATACCTCCCTTAAATTTTTCTTAAATGGCCCAACTAAAATCAACTGCACAGAAATATGGAGGATGATAAAAATGTCGCGGTTTCGGGTACTAAATGAAATTCGACGGGTTAAACTACACTTGAAAAAAATCGCGAACCGTACACAATTTCGCGCGACACTTCCACAGCTTCCTGAGTCCGGTGGGTCTTGGTCATTGGCTTTGGGTCTCTCGAAGCTTGCGATTGCGGCCACTGGTGGGATGAAAATTCAAGGATGAAGGGAATTCAATGGTCCACTGAGGTAATTTGAAAATTTCGTGGGTTGAGAGGAGCTTTCAAGT